TTCATGGAGATCGTTCTCAAGCTGATCGTGACTTTTCATTGAAAAGGTTTAAAGAAAATGTTATTCAATTACTTGTTGCAACTGATGTTGCTTCTAGAGGATTAGACATTCCAGACATTGAGGTTGTGATTAATTATGATATGCCAAATGAAATTGAGAGTTATGTCCATCGTGTCGGAAGAACTGGACGGGCTGGTAAAAAAGGAACAGCAATTACTTTCATTAATGATAAAACCCAAAATTTAATACCATCGTTAGTCTCATTATTAGAAGAAGCAAAACAAGAAATCCCAGACTGGCTAGAAGAAAAGGCACAAGAATACAGAAAACCATTTGGCTCAAAAAGAGGTAGAAAAGGTGGGTTTAATAGAAGAGGAGCTGGAAGGTTTGGAGGAAGAGACAGAAGGTATGAAAGAAGAAGAGAAGAAGATTGGGATAATACTAGGTCAATTAGTACACCAATAAAACCTCATTTGTTCGATTAATGTGAATTAATTAAAAGTATTAAAAACATTAAGTTATTTGAAAGAACTGTTAACTCTAATAAATAAGAGGTAATGCATTTTGAATTTCTTCAACAATATTTCCTTTGTTAGAATAATCAATGCTTTAACTGTATTTTTGTTCTAGTCGTTCTTCTGTTGTTAGAGTCCTTTTTATTTTTGAATAAAATGATTTATTTACTAATGTTTTGTTTATAACGTATTATCTAAAAGAAATATGAGAGGTTGAAAGTTTAATTGTTATAAGTTATTATTTTTTTTGTTTATCTCTTTATCAATGAATTCAAAGATAAGCTCTTTTCTTAATTTGGTATTTTTTAATTGCCTACATGTAGCATTTGATTATAAAATATTCTTTAGAATAAATAATTTCATAGTTAACTTCATTTTAGAGAATTATGATTGATAGTGTAACTCAAAAAAATATAAGAAAATATTCAACTAAAAACTTTTATTGACAAGACTTTCTTAAAATAAACATATTGAAGATATTTTATTTGTCATTGTAATGTATTAAATATTAAAACAATAAAACATCACAATAAAAACCATTTTTATTTATTTTATTTCATTTCTTTCTAACATTCTTACTATTCTTCTATTGTTATTCTTTCTTTTGGTTCTTGTTTCCATGTTTTTTCAAATAATTTCTTTAATATCTTCTTTAACTTCTTGTATTATTGGTGGTCGTTTA